ATAAAGTCAAATTGAAAATCTTTTAAAACTATATAGATGACATTAGAAAATTTAAAAACACGAGAATAGAAGTAGAACACGGATGGATATATAAATGTAAAAACATAGTTTATCCTTTTATATTCCTCAAGCCATCTTTGTGTAGAAATGTTATACATAAAAATACAGATAAATTACACTGAAAATACATATCTTTAAAGGTTTATTCTGATTGCTAGTAGTTTGCTCTTTGTGTTATCATCCAAAAGTTAAATCCTAAAAGAAATCGTGAAAAAAATAATATCTTATAATTAGTCTGAATGTAAACGATTTTACAAGTAAAATTTTAAAAAAACAAAAAAGAGATAAGATAAGTATTGAATTGTAACTCTAATCAACTTTTCAAATCAACTATCAAAATCAATAATTTTTTCAATTCTTCACAAATTTAATATGTTTTACGAACTGATACAATAAGTTTTTATTGGTAGGTTGTTTTTTAAAAATAATTAGGTCCATCTTAGCTTATGATATTGTTTGAGATATAGTGATCGATGACGTGCATACTTCAACAAAGTTATCCATGACATTGACCAATATTTTTTTTCGGCATGCATCCTCCCATGAAGAAAATTTAGTTACTTTTATGGCAAATTAAGACTTCAATCTTTTGATTCATCAGGCCCAAATTTTTTCTTCCCGAAACGATGTTTATTGTTAACAGTAACTATTGATCAAACCATAAATATTTCCTAAACAAATTATCAATACAACCAACTTTAAATAAAATTAGGATTTAATCTAGTCTTTTTATTAAGCATAACAAGGTTTTCATGAAATTCGGTTAATCATACATATCTCTCATGTGCGTTTATTTAACCCAATTGGTTGGAAACCTAGTTTTACTAATAGAAGGACCTGATCAAATCTCCAATCTTGTTGAGGGACCAATTACATATAGTAATTTATTCAGGGACTTATTCTACTCCAAAATAGTTTTGGAGGATAGACGATTTCTACCTTTAAATTAAATTCAATCCTCTGTTTAATATTATTTTGGAAAAAAAAAACGATGAGGGAAGATCGAGTCAGATCGAGAAAAAAAAATGAAGTCCAATTTTTACCAGGGTTTATTTAGGCCCATATAATGGTATTAAATTTAGAAAAACAATAATTTTTTTCCTTTATGATTTTTTAATAAGATTGAGAAGAGCAAATAATTTGCAATTTTCAGTATGTTTATCGTTTTATAGAATATGCCTTTTTATTTGTTAAAGAGTCTTAGTAAGAAGAGTTTGCAAATATGCATAGAAAAAATAACATCACCGTAATGCATGCATGAATCATGACTAGTAAGAAGGTGGGGAAACGACTTGTGATTAAGAAAATCATGAAGAATCTTAGGATTACTATATTTGATGACTTTCCCGAAGGAATAAGCAAATCAAACGGTCTCCATTTACTTTTAAGTAAATACCAAAATGTCTATATATAAGCATGTCTCCCATAAAGTCAGTACTCCTTTTTTTCCTTTTGCTCTTATCCAACTTTTGATCACAGCATCATGGCTACTACTAGTACTAGTACCATAGCTCTGTATTGTATGCATCTTTTTCATCAATCAAAACCAACGGCGGGAGTCCCACCCCGGGCCCACAAACGGATAAAAGAAAAATCTAAATCAATCACACTCCAAAAGGCAAGCTGAACGAAACACGTGGCAAAACCAGAGTCCATAATCCAATCACGAGGGACTTGGACAAGGTCCCACCAGAGAGAGAAGGTGTTTTGATCATCGTATCAACTTGTTTTTTTGGAGGAACGAGGAAGGACTTTTGAACCAACCGTGGGACCCATAAATAACGTGAGCTCTAAGAGGCGACACGTGTCCGAGACCTAGTCACGATGGGTGGAACACTAAACAGAGCTCCGTGTAATACGACAAAATCCAAAGCCCACGTTGGATGACCGTAGAAAGAGAAGAAGGAAATTGGAAAAGCATTCTCGTCAAGCCTCTCTCAAGCCCTGACAAAAGAAGTCGAGCAAACTCACTTTTAGTTCCTTTATTTTGAATGTGGACTGTGACGATAAATTAATGCTTCATGTTACAATCTATAACTTAATCTTATTAAAACATTTTGGTTGTTTTCTGAACCATTCAGATCATGGTTACTTTCAAAAATAATTTCTTAATTTCATATATAATTTTCTTATTTATTCTAGAAAACATTCAATGAAAATATAAGAAAATATTTGCTATGCTTTATATGCTATATCGGTAGATTGTGAAGAATTTGAATTAGATAAAAATAAAAAAAATAAAAGATTGATAGATTTATGTGCAATTAAAATTTTCTTTTGAGCATATAAATAAATAATGTCAATTCAATGTTGCACTTATAAGCATAGAGACTGTCAAGATGCACACCACACCCTATCCCCTGACTCCAATCATAATAGAATGGTATTAGAACGCATCTCAGCTACTGTAGGAAACTGCATTGTCTGGCACTAGATCCTAAATTATGATTGTTGTGCGACAAAGGCATCTCATATTCAAAGAGGGAAAATTGGAATGTTACGTATCTTATTTTGGTATGCTATAAAGATTTTGAATTAGATAAAAAAGAATTACTAGTAGACTTATGTGTAACAAGATTTTTTTTTACCAATGAGGACAAATAAGTCCAACTTTATATTGGACCTGTAGGTTTTGAGGATGTTGAGCCACGCATTAGACCTCTCCCTCCGAGTTTAAAGAGTTGCAATATGTTTATTAAATATATTTAAAAATCGAGTTCGAAGAGTTGCTAAATGTTTGTTAAATATATTTAAAAATAAAAATCAGGATTTTTTTTATTTTAAAAATAACAGAAAAAACATTAAAAAAATTACGTGAATCAAACAAAACTTTTAGTTTTTATATTGGAGAATTTGAAGAACAACATAGTCGATGTTTTTCAATTTTACGAAGGACTAGAGAAATGAAAGGCACAATTCAAAATATATATATGATCTATTTCTATAGTATATAATTTAAACTGTCACAGAGCTCGTTTAGAATTTTTTGAAAAAGAAATAGATGATTTGATTGGACGATGGTCAAGTAGAATTAAAGGACTAAGCTACATATTTGCAAAGAGAAGGAACTATGTTGTAATCGATTTAAGAAATAGGGACTAAAGAGCAATTTACTCAAAGACATGCCGTGACGCGCTTTATAACAAGCAAAAGGACAAAACACGTGTTTTGAAAAGAGGGAGGGGTATTTCGGGGAATTTGCAATTAGATAAGCTGGAGTGGGGTTAGGCAAAGAAAAAGAGTCGAGACGGAACCCTTTGTCGCCACGTGCCTTGGCGTTTGGCGCACGCAGGAAAGCGTTTGTCTGCTTCCTTTTTTCTTCATTTGTTTTCTAGCGAAATTTTGTATTTAAGTAGTAATAATAATAATAAAGATTACAGCTATTGCCAGGCCCCTCATTCGAGCTATTTCCACACAGCACTGTTTTTTCGACTTTCCCTCTTATTTCCATTTTCAAAAGAATAAAAGACTGAAATTGCAAATCGTTCGGGGTAAAGATTTGGGAAGCCGCTTGGCTTGGTTAGTCGGTGAGTTTATTAAAAATCAAATTCTAAACAGGCTATAAGAAATTACGTCAAATACGGATGATGTATATAATACTTAGATCATAGTTAAAAATTAAGAAATGTCAAAGAAAATAAGTTCTTGATAATATATATTGTGCGAGGAAGAAAACAAAAAACAAGACTATAGAATATAGATACAATATCAATATGAAAAATAAGTGAATTATAAATCAGTGACAATTTAACTTTATCTCACCTATAAAGAATTAATTATTTTTATGTGTATCATAATTTGAACACTGTAATACTATAAAATCCTTAATAGTAACTAAAATTAAGAGAAAAAGAAGAATTCATTTAGTTTTTTTTTATATAGGTATATATATATATATATATATACTTAAAATCTTCCATTTGTTTCTAAAAAAATTTAAAATGTTAATTTGTTTTTTGGATTAATTTTTTTATCAAAACTTTTTTATTGAAATACAATAAATAAATAAAATAAAATTCTAAAGATTTAAAAAATGAAACATCATATGAATTTAAGTATTTTTTTCATTTTAATAAAAAAATTATCTTGAAAAAATTGATTGAACAAACAGATTAAATATTTTAAAAAAATTTAATAGTAAATAAAAAACAATTGAAAATTAAAAAAAAAACTTTTGAGTAAATAAAGACAAATAGATGTATTTATTTTATTAGGAAATGGTGTTTAACTTGTTATGCAAGGAAGCAAAAGCAGCCAAACGAAAAGGACCTATCACAGGCCTGCCAATAGCCATAGTTTCAACCTTCAACCCTTTCATTCACATGTAAACCAATAAAACCATCCCCATGGTCAAGAAAATGAAATAAGTTAAGCCATTTGGGGAAGGCAGTTAGCAAGTAGAGATTGGAAAAACAATTAAATATTATTATATTATATTATATAAAATAACAATAAAAAGAACAAAAAACAAAAACAAGAAAGAACAAGCATAGCTTGTAGCAAGGATAATTGGTACTTTTATATAGATTAACAAAAGAGAGGGAGTGAGGGAGAAGAGAGATGGTAGGACCCACGTAAACAGTTTAATTCGGCCGCCCGCTTTGTCGTCTCTTTCGTCTCCGTCCACCTCCGTCGCTCTTTTGGTTTTGCTTGCCCCTTTGACCCTCTCTCTCTGTACTTTCTATTTCTTTCTCTCGAGAAGATATATTTCATCTCTTTCTCTCTCCCTCACAAAGTCAGTCTCTCTGTTCCCTAAAATATAGCTGCAGCTCTATATAATAATAAAAATAAGAGAGAGAGAGAGAGAAGAGAGCCACAGAAGAATTCAACAAGTGTTTCTGAGAGAAAGAAAGAAATGAAAGAATGAAGAGTTTGGTTTCTTTCAAGTATTTTTAGCTTCTGGGTTTTGGTCTATTCGTATCTTTTCACTTCCTTCCCTCATGGCTGGTAGCAATGAAGTCAACCTCAATGAATCCAAGGTATGCTATTCTCTCCATTTCTTCCTCCCTCTCTATCGTTTCCCTTCTTTCTTTCTTTCATTACAATCATGTTCTTTTCATTTGTTTCTCCTTTTTCTCAAGAAGATTTTGGAGCTTAAATTAATGTTTTCTTCTTCTTTCAATTTTGCTTCATGGGTTGCTTGACTTTCTTTAGCTCAATTTGAAATATGAAAATTTTGACTTCGATTCGACTCATTTTAAGAGCTAATTTTGCTGCTGCTTCAATTTATTGTCACCTGATTCAATGGTTCATCAAGTTCTTCGATTTTCAGCATTATTGTCTTTTGGCGGAAGTTGAAAAGCTTCTTGATTTTGAAGGTTCTTGGGTTTTCATTTAAGCTCTACTCTGTTTAGTTTCCTTTACATGATCTATTTGGCATTCCCATCCAACTACTTCTACCTGGTCTGCTTTGTTTTGTACAATAAAACTTGATGTGTTCTCTAATGTCTAAGATGTACTTGTTTGATTAACCTGGCTCTCAATTAATACAAGGCCAGAACATCGTGTAAACCTTTTGTTTTTTGTCCAACTCCTTAAAACCTTGTTTTCTTCTTGCAGAGGGTTGTTCCGCTAAACACATGGGTCCTCATTTCCAATTTCAAGCTTGCATATAATCTTCTTCGCCGCCCGGATGGGACCTTCAACCGTGAATTGGCAGAATTCCTTGAACGAAAAGTCCAAGCTAACGCCATCCCAGTAGACGGAGTTCTCTCTTTTGACCATGTTGATCGCACCACAGGCCTGCTTAACCGGGTTTACCAACCTGCCCCTAAAAATGAGGCTCAATGGGGCATCATGGAGCTTGAAAAGCCCTTGAGCACTACTGAGGTTGTTCCAGTCATAATCTTCTTCCATGGTGGAAGTTTTACTCATTCCTCTGCTAACAGTGCTATCTATGACACCTTCTGTCGCCGCCTTGTCAGCGCTTGCAAGGCTGTTGTGGTGTCCGTCAATTATCGTCGATCACCTGAGTATCGATACCCTTGTGCGTATGATGATGGTTGGACAGCCCTCAAGTGGGTTAAATCTAGAACTTGGCTTCAAAGTGGAAAGGATTCAAAGGTTCATGTCTATTTGGCCGGCGATAGTTCAGGTGGTAATATAGCTCACCATGTTGCCGTGAGGGCAGCGGAAGAAGAAATCGAGGTGTTGGGGAATATTCTTCTCCACCCAATGTTCGGTGGACAACTGAGAACAGAATCAGAGAAAATATTAGATGGCAAGTACTTCGTTACAATTCAAGACCGCGACTGGTATTGGAGAGCATATCTACCGGAAGGAGAAGATAGGGACCATCCAGCATGTAATATATTTGGTCCAAGGGGCAAAAGTCTTAAAGAACTGGAGTTCCCTAAAAGTCTAGTTGTTGTGGCTGGTTTCGATCTTGTTCAAGATTGGCAATTGGCTTATGTTGAAGGACTCCGGGGATCTGGTCATGAAGTGAAACTTCTCTATCTAAAACAGGCCACTATAGGGTTCTACTTCTTGCCAAATAATGAACACTTCTATTGTCTCATGGAGGAGATAAAAAAGTTCGTGAATTCTAACTGTTAATAGACTTCTTAACCTTACCTACAGTCAGCCATACATAACAGAGCCTTGACATTTCGCTTGGGTTATCTCTCTCTCTTTTTCCTTTTTTCCACCCCTTTTCCAGTGATGGTGTGTAGTTATAAGAATATTGTGTAGCATTACTTCTACCATGTTGCCACCTGGGTGGTGGTAAATGGTGATACAAGTTCTGTATCTTCGGGAACCAGTGGTCCTTGGTCTGCAGAGAATGCTGATTGTGTCTTATGGGTGCATAAAAGCAAGCTATTCAAGAGGTCCGGCCACGGCGGTTTAGAGGATTAGAATTTGTTTACACGATTCAGCTGAACCACCAAATACAAAACTTACCTCGGTTAGCTTCCAGCCACGATAAATAGGGAAGGTAGAAGTATGGGGGTAATGTTTGGTGGTTCATCAAAATTGTTTTTGTACTTTGGTAATTTATAAGCACTAATTTCTGAACATAGACTGGAACATGTCCATCTTGTTAGAAACTTGTATGCTATACATGTCTTCAAGAATTATATAAAAAATTTGTTTGCGTTTTAATTTTAATCTATCTTGGTCCAAAAAATCTTAGTTTCCTGTTTCTAACTTGTCATTGCTTTTGGTGCTTGAATGTCTAGTCTGGCCTTGGCAATTAGTCGCTGAACGTGAGAACAGAACAAGCTAACTCCGATGTCAGTACAGATTTTGTAGGGACCTAACTAAATGATGGTCTTTTCTAATTATCATTTGTCGGCTTTTTTTTTTTTTTTTACTATGTATCAGCGCAGTGTTTATGGGATGGAAGACCATTTCCTTTCCTTCTGAAGAATTGTTAATTTGGAAAAGGGTGTGTTGGTTGTTGATTGCCACGTATTAAGCATACAAATTAATCCACTTTCTTGTATCCCATTAAGGACTTAAAAACACAATTTGGCTTCATGAAGCCTGTATCAAGTGTGAAGCTGGAAAAAGAAATCTGCTCCCTAAACCAAATCAACTTGTAAAATGGGCACAGAAGGGCATGTGGCAACACCAAGACAAAACCCCGTCCACCAAAGAAGAGAATGGCAATTTTAGACAAATAAAGTGATTGGACGTAAGGTCTAAATCATGGATATCACCCACCTTTCTACGTCAAACTTGATTAATTCTTGTCAGCTCCTGATTGCACAATGTAGTTGGGCTAGTTTGGAACTTGGTATAGGAAGCAAAAAACAGGAATTTGGCTTTGGTTTGATGGGAGGAAACTCATCTACCAGTGGTTGGGAATTTTGGATGTATTATAAGGGACCACTTCAAAAAAAAAAAAAAAACACCACTCCCGAAGCGAGTAAATTATAACTTAGACCTTTTAGATTTGGGAAATATAAATTCATTAGTTTGTTTTGTTTTAAAAACTAAATATTTAATTTTTTTCTCTAATTATTTTTTAATTTTTTCTCTAATTTTTTTATTCTTTTCTATTTTTTCAAAATAAAATTTTATGAGAAAATTGATTGGCAAAAAAAAAAAATAATAGTAATAATAGTAAATTAAGTTCTATCAAAATTGGTTAAGAGACTAAAAAATTAATTTATTTATTTTTCGAAACTAGAATAGTGAATTTACAATTTACTTCTCTCGCAGCCTGCCCTCTTTAGTTTTACCCTCGTTTTTCTTAAAACAAAAATAAAAAAACCAGCTGCTTTAAATGGCCACTAAAGGGTAGAAACAGCTAATAAGCTTGGATAAGGACATGGAACCCTGTCTTTAATTGACTTTCTATGCCATTGCTTAGAATATATGCTTGCTGCTTAGTTGCATCTGTCAAGGCCACCAAAATTTATTCACATTGGTTTTCAATATTTCGCCCTTTCTTGCTCACACTAGCATGGTTTGTCCGTTGTCTTTTTATGGATTGTCCATTATAAATTAGCTGTTTATGTTTTGAAATTATTCTCTAATACGACAAGGCAGAGACATTGACATCAATTTGGGCATTGTTTAATCATGATTATGGACAAAATCCTTAATTTGTTTTGGTCGGTTGGGCATCAAACTATAATCTATTCTTGGTGAGTGGTGAGTCATTGGTTGCGGTTTGCGCGTACGCAATTGGCTTGACCCCCTCCCTCTTTTCATTTAATTTCTTACTCTATTCCTATTAATTAACTACTTCTATTCAATTTAATGGCGTAAATCAAAGCATACTTTCCTAAAAAAATTATTCTGTATGCTTACTTTTCCACCCAAGGCCACATTCAGGCCACGATAGAGCAGAGCCATTCAATAATTATGCTCTTCCAGACCACCACTTGGCTTTATTATTTATTACTATCATTATGACTGAATCAAATGACCAGCTTAATTAACTTCCATTTGTTCATGTGGGAATTGGGTCCATCTAATTCGTCGGTTAGAGCTGAGGATCATGAGAGCGGTTGTGGGATATTTACACCGCAGCAAAATACTAGCACACTATGTTCGTTGATGATCCAGAAGTGACGCTCATATTGTACTTTTAATATAGTTTATGTTTTTTTTTTTATTGGTTTTGAGAATAGAGAAAAATTTAATTTGAGCTGAAATCTTAGTACTAGATTTTTATTAACCGTGCGAATAATATCGAGTATTGCTTTTCCTTGCCGAAAAATATTTGAAATGATTCTCTGCACGAAAAGAAATGACAGATAATATAATTAAAATATTGGGAATTTTAAAGATAAATATATTAATTAATCTTTCAGGGACGCTGGAAGAAGTGGGTGGTTTATTTGGTTGACACCTGGATCATTAGTTTTTGTTTAGTCCTTGAAGTCATTCATAATTATAATTTGGTCCTTTTTTATAGAGAAATTCATAGATAGCTCCAATCTTGACATTCTATAATTTCACATCTACCACGAGCTTTTTTTAACTCTTTTATTTTATCCAAGAATCAATACAAATAAATCCAATTTCGCTTCATTCCTTTTCATCCATTGTTTATAAGTTATTGCTTTACTTTATGAATTTCCACAATTTTTACTCTAGCTTCACCCGTCAATATATATATATAAAAAAATAGTGTGGTATTTTCAAGTTAATTTTTACATTAATCAAAACTAAATTCATAATTTTTTAAATTAAATCAACGTTGTATTTCATCTAACTTTTGATCCATTTTAAGAGTCAATCATTTAAATCCATTAACAATCTATATTTAGTACTACATAAAATCAATAGGTAATTTTTTTAAAAAAAAATCGAACTCTTTTACCTGAAAACACTCTTGTCATTCAACCTATGAACCTACATCTTTTGGTGGAATAAAATATTATTTGAGTTTTCATAATTTCACCCCCTCGTGTACATGACATCTTTAGCTATTTTTAGTTTATTGAAACTATTAAATGAATACCTCAAATGTCCTTTCATAATTATAGTCTTTTCTCGTCTTTTATATATATATAAAAAGTGGAAAGAAAAAAACTAAAATAGCTCGAAATCCCGTAGTGGGTTTAGGTTAGTTTTTATCATTGACAAGCAAAAAACCAATCCCAGTTGGTCTAATTAAGTTAAGAAGTAGATGCATGCATAATGTGATACGATGCGGTCAACTGTAGAAAAGGGGACAAAAAATAACTCCATTTTAAAAGGGTTTAATTCTGTTTTAACCCAATTGAAAAATAACCCAAAAGTTAATTCTTTAACAAACAACATATTGTACGTTCGCTCTCTGTCATTTCCATTTTTGGTTTTTGGGTAAGTTCATTCCACTCAAGTTCTTGTCATGAACCTTTAGTCCAAAAGAGGGATCACAGCTAAGGTCCGGATTAGACTGAAAAGAAGAGCATAATGCTGCCATCCCACTAGATGTCTAGATCACCATCAATATCAAAACTATATGCAGTTTACTTCACATGCATAAATTGAAGTCTCAAGAAGTGTGTATCCAGATCATGCAAAATCAGACACAAACAGCTTTAAAGGGAAATAAAAAATCAGAATTACAATCCATCACTTCTGATAAAAAAAAAAAAAAAACTTTCTTAAAATGCTCCAGTCAAAGCTCAAGTAATGTTATGGAGGGTGTCTGTTATTGGCTCGGTCAAGTACATTACGGGCAAATTGCATCCTACAAGGAAATCAGAATTATCAACGTGCAACTGGGCTCCAGATTTTTCTTATATGTAGAAACGAACCCAAAGGTGTCAAGTCGACAAACCAAGCCCAAGTTTGGGACTTCAGTCCATGGACCCCTAAGCAGATCCGAGTAATCAAAATTGTTGTAGGCCTAAGTCCTTTCTGCAATGCTTCCTTCGACCGCATGGACACACACACACATATATGTATGTATATCTGTCATTTTAAAGGTGAAAGCACAATTTTGTTTTTTCAGATTTTGCTTTAAGTTAAAATCGCTTAAAATTATTTTCTTCATTCTCATCATCTCAAATAGAAAAGACTAGTAACTTTCGCGCGCTACGTAACGGGATCAATAAAAAAAAGTAATTTTAAAATTTTTTAATTATAATATTTTATTCACTTAATTTTTGTAATTTTTTTATAAATTTTTTGTTTAAAAAAATATAAATCATTTTTCTTTATGGATTTATTTCAAAATAAAAAATATAATAATTTTAACTAGAATATTAATCAAGAATTAAAAAAACTTTTAAAATATAATTTTAATAATATCGTATTTCAAAAAATAAAGTTATAATTAATGGATAGACTTTTACAACAATTAACAAATGAGAAAAAAAATTCTTATTTAATGTTGATGAAAAAATTAATTTTTAAAATTATTTCTGCAATGCTACGGGTAGATAGAACACCTAATTAAATAAAAACCATAAATTTATGAAAATTATTAAAAGAACACCTAAGTAAAAAAAAAGAATATATCATATAAATATAAAAAATATCGTATATATTATATAATAGTCAGTTTGTGTAAAAAAAAACGATTGATTTTTTAAAATTTTAACACCTCATTAAATTAAAAAATAATATAAGTTGATGAAAAAAAAGCAAAATTGATTTTTTAAAATAACATAAATTGATGAAAAAAGGCAAAAAAAAAAAAATACATAGTGCATCAGTTAGGGGATTAAAATTTTTATTTTAAAAATTTAGAGATCAAAATAAAATAAACCTGAAAATTTAAAAAAAATACATAAAAAAGAACCTAAATTGATTTTAAAAAAAAAAGCAAAGGGAGAAAAAACATGTATAGTGAAAGTAACCTAAAAAAAAAAAAAACACTTGCTAGAGGAACAGTGAAACCAAAGCACTTAAAAAAAATGTTTGTAAGAAGTTGAAGAAAGGCCGGCAGAGGGAAAAAAAAATTGAAAGCTAGCTGGAAAAAATTTTGCTTGTAAAGTGTTATAGAGTAAATAAAATAAAATAAAAAATAAAATAAAGATAAAGAAAAAAAAATAGAAGCCAATTGGAAAATACTGTTCATTGAATAGGGAGAGAAACAGTAACAATGTACAATAAAACATCCTTGTGTTTTAAAGTATGTGTAGTAAAAGCATTTTTAAGATCTGGTGATCCTACATTCTCATTCTCATCCCCAACCTTATTTTCTTCCTCCTTATCTCAAGTAAATAAGAAAGTGAAGAAAAGTGAGAGTGCAGTATAAAAGAGAGAGCGATAGAGAGAGAGAGAGGGGATTTATAGGCCAAACTCGATTGCCAACTCACTTGCAACAGAAACCCGCCCATTCATTCATTAATAGCTAAACGGAATCCATGATGTTGTTTCTTCTTCTTCATTTGAAATGACGTTGTTTCAAATCGTCAACCGCCGCCAAAGCTACCGTGAGAAGGTGAATCGCACGAAATCGAATCTTTGGTTTTTTTTTTCCTTTTTAGTTCGGGGAGCAAAAGAATGAAGAATTAGGGATTATTGATTGGCAACGATAGGAATTAAAAATTGAGGCCTTTGTTATAGGGAGGAAACTTCAGAGGTAATAGCACAGGATCACCAAACTCGAAAAATGCTCTATCTTTTTTTTTTTTTTTTTTTTCAGATGAGGATGAGGAAAATGAGTTTAAATAATTTTAACTTAAACCAAAGTAATGACAAACAAAATTAAAAGTAAAATTACGTTTTTATTCTTAAAATGATAGGTCTTGACATTGCATTGTTTATTCGTATGTTAACTAAAAGAAATAAGTCAAATTAATAGAAAAACATGATCCATGGATTAATTTACATCAACTTTCAATGGTAATTTATATCAATTTTCAATAGTATAAGATAAGTTATAAACTATATATGAGTTTATATCAACTTTCAATAATATAAGATCAATTATGAAATATATATAGGTACAAGGATTGTGACGGTAATTTTATTAAAATATAAATACACGAGGTGTATTAAACCCTATATCTATGATCAAAAAATCAAATAATTGAATGTCTAACTTTAAAATTTTACTCATCATTAAAAAATAAATTCGCATATTTTAAAGTTAAATTGCATTTAATTTTGAAAGATATTGTAGCGAAGACAATATAAAGTTGTATTCTCTACATTCTAAAACAATTACTTATCTTTTATTTATATATTTTTTAAAACACTTGTTTAGTCAAAACTTTAATAGTATATTTTTTAAAATGTTTTTAATTAAAATCAATTTTAATAATTTTATAACGTTTAAAAAATATATGTTTTGTAAAAATATAAAAAAATGCTATATGTTAAAAGGTGCAGTGTATTTGGAACATACTCTGTGTTTGGATAGGGAGGAAAATAAAGGAGAGGAAAGAAAGTTTTTCTTTGTTTGTTTTGAGGGAGGAAACCAGTGAAAAAAAAAAATAAACAATCTATAAATGATGGTACCTATTTTCCTCTCAAAATTGGGAGGAAACCGGGAGAGAAAACCGAGAAATCATCAAAAAAATTTTAATATCTCATTTTTCTCTCCATCTGCCTCATCGTCCCTCTCCTTTTCTCACTCTCTGCAAGTACAAAGATAAGGAACCTCGGTAATCCTAAGCCGCCCCTCACAACCCCAAACACCGTCGCCCCCTCCTCCTATCCTCCATTTTCCCTTTCTGCCAAAGACTGGAATTCAATCCACGGTCAAGTTCAATGGCTATTTTGAGGACCATAGGTAGAACCGAAGCACTAGCTAGTTGCATGGCAAAGTTGTTGGCTTCTTCATCTGATAACTCAGTTGGAGTCATCCGAGTTTCACCTGTTGAACCCATCTTGATCAAGCTGATTGATTCTTAACGGTTACTGAGGGTTGAAGAAGAAGTGAGAGAAGAGATGAAAGGCTTAATAGAGGATATGAGAATTCTGGGACAGGGATGCAAAGTGGTGTCATATATATGGTGTAGTGCGCACCCACCTTGTCCTTAGTCCCTATTCTCTACTCACAAATGTCCATTGCCTAAACACGACTTCCTATCTTCTTTTTGTTTTTGTTTTTTTAATTTTTTTTACTCTATGTTTGAACAATTTTTAGCTGTTATTTCTTATTCAATCTGTTTTGGCTTAAGACTTTTTGGGATATACTAGTCATTTTTTCACGCTACGCAGCAAGATCGATAAAAAAAAATTAAAATTTTAAAATAATGAATAAAACAACTAATTTATTTTATGCATGGATAATAATACATGTTATAAATATTTAAATTAATTTTATATTGATAATTAATCTAAATTGACTATTGAATTAATTAATTAGTAAACGGTTATCTATTATTCTATAGAGACGATTTATTATGTATCTTGTCATTTCGGATACATGCTCCATGCTAGATTTTTATTTTATTATCATTTCTATAATTTTCATTAAAAAAATATTCATATAAATTTATTATAAGTATTTAAATATAGAAATATAATCATAAGAGTATAATGGTAATTATACAATAATATATTTTTTCTCTTTTTTTATAATTATCCAAACAAAAAAATATATATTTTTTTTATTTCTATTCTTATCCAGACAATAAAAGAAAAATAATTTTCTTTTTTTTATTTTTTTCTCCCTATTCTTTCTTTCGAAGAGGAAATATCCAAATAAAGGGTAATAAAGAATATAATTCGTTTAACGTCTTTTCTTATCCCTGTGAAAACGACGATAGAACTCTTTTCTAGAAACAGATGGAGCACTCAATACCACCAACAAAAGCATAGATGATTTAACGAAAAGATAGACACACCAAAGTGTCAAACACCTGCTGACAATCAGGACGAGGGATACTTGTTCAACAAATACGAGCACTCTTAAATCTTCGTTAAAGGAGTACAGCTTAAAATTGGAAATCATTGGTGTAAGAAAAAACTGTTTAGCATTTGTAAAGAAAAATTCTTGAATTCGAATTGGTACCAAAAGAATCTTTTTCAAATAATATCTTGGATACTTTAGGCAGCATGTGAAAAAAAATAAAAAAATAAAAAAATCTCTTAATATAACCGATAAATTATATCTTATTTTAAATTAATGCTATATATTACTATTGTATATTTTATTTTATTTTGAAATAAAATTATAAGTGATAATTAAATGTTTAGAGCTTTTTGAATTCTAGCAATGCGCTAAACACATTCATAGTAAATGATAGTGCAAAAATTAGGTTAAACGAAGAGTCTCTAGTTTAATTATACAAGTACAAAGTATTGTGTCATCTATTTATAAATATAAAATGTAAAATTAAATTATTAATATTGCACCTTTCTTCATCCGGACTAATACATTATGGCATCACAACTGAGAGGATGCTATACACAATTCATAGCTCAACTCAAATATAAAGTAAAAATTCTAATATATAAATAAAATCCAACTCAAATAAAGTTCAAATATAATAACTAAACTTAACATTTCATTATAAGATTATAACATAACATATAAAATATGAATTCTCAAGCTTTTTAACATATGTCATAAATGAACATATTTACTAAAACATAAAATTATATACATGTTAGAACTTCAAATATAATATTAAAATTAAGTGGTCAATTAGCAAAAGCTCATAAAGTTAAATACATAATAATTTTCAAGTCGTCACTCAAACTTAACAACGAACTAGCCAAAAAGGATAAAAGTCTAATCTTTTCACAAGAGTGTACTCAAGGTGTATTGGTTGCATCTTCGATGTCAATGGAGGCCTCGCGAGCCCAAAGTTCATCGTCTATACCACAAGACAAAATATGAGCTAACGCTCAATAAGCATGATCATGCATGACATTAAAAAAAAAAAAAAAAAAAAAAAAAAAAAAAAAAAAAACTTTCATCATGTGTATATGTGAATACATTTTTTCTTGATGCATACACCCCACTAGACGTTATGTCTACTCCTTTTTTCTTTACCAAAACTATGCATTTACCAAACCTTGTCTTTACCATTTGTCTCTACCAAAACCATTGCCTTTTATGCATAACATAATTCAAATGCATTCCATGAAATATATAAAATTATGTTCATAATGTAAATGCATATAAAGATATACCTAAAGACTCATTTAACCACGTAACACTTTCACACGTAAAGTTATTGTGGTGAGTTAAATCATGTTTACCTTGGTTCTTTTGTAATTCAACAATTATCCTTTTCAAGTTATTTAATTCCTATTATTAAAACCATCCACTATAAATCTTCTACTTAAATCAACAAACTCTATACTTAACAATTAACTAATAAATTTCAAAATTTATATTTTATTATTCATCGTTTTTAACCTTTCTAAGAATATTTTATCATCATAATAACAATTCCATAAACCACATGTTCAATTTTTTTCAAAATACTATATCATTACAAAAGCACTTACATAAACCACATGCTGAAATTTCAACTTACTCTATGCTCTACAACATCCTATATATACAAAATTCCAACTTAATCTATTAAATTTTAAAATAATTTATATAATAAAATCAAACCAATTAAACTCTAAATTAATTTCATAAATCATTAATTCAATAAAAATTAATCATAACCTAACCAATTAAAATCACTTCAATCATACGTCTCAAATAGGTCTTCAAATCTTAACTTCACTAATCTTAGCTTAACTTACAAACCCATTACAATTCAACTTCACAATCATCAATGATCATTTAAAAATGCATCAAACAATTAAAACTTATAGTAAAAACCATATCTTTTTTTGTCGTTTCGAATTTCAAACTCAAGAACACCAACTTTCCAAGCTTCAATCATGTTTAATATCAACTTGGATCATCAAAAACTAACATAATATAATTTTTTTTGGTGGCGAAGTAGGTTAAAAATGGATGAGAGATGGAAAAGATGAAGTGGGAGGGTTAAGGTTTGAGAGAGAGAGAGAGAGAGAAGGTTAAGGTTTGAGGGAGAGCAATATCAATGAAGAAAGGTAAGAAAATGGCCCATTTTCATCATCTTTAGCCTTTAAAACAAAGGACCTTTTTTGTTCTTATTTTTTTGCAACACATTAATTCATCTTAAACACACTTCATCCTCACTTCTATATTTTTATTTAAGACTAAAAAATTCTACTCTCTCTATCCCAAAAAGATTGTCCTCCTTTCTATTTATATTTATTCCAAAATGTTTGTCTGATCAAAACTTTAAATTATGTATTTTTTAAAAAAAATACCCACAATCAATTATTTCTTCTATCTCTTTTATTAACTAGACAATCAATATTCTTTATATTTTTCCTTTACACATACAAATATTTTTAACATAAAAAAAAATCAAAAGTAAAATTTTTAATGCACGAAAACTATTTATTTTATGGAAAATTTAGGATTCCTTAATGATCTTTAGATTTTTATGAAATTTTTTGACTTAAATTTGGGAGGGACAAGAATTTTGATTTGGCACCTTGATTTTAGAATTATTTTTTTGGCATAAAATTTCGTAAAAAAATTAGAAAGGTCGAATGATCTCTAAAAATTTCCAACTTACATGGGAGTGAAGAAAATCTTGTTTGACATTGAGATTTTGGAAATAATTTTATGAAAAATTTAGGATTTGTTAATGATTTTTAAATATTTATAAATTTTTTTCAACTTAAATTTGGGACGAACGCATATCTTAATTTGGCGTCTTAATTTTAGGAGGGTTTAATGATCTCCAAATATATATATATTTTTAATCTTGGAACTCAAATCCGGCATGATAGAAGGGTGTTTTAAGAAACTAGGGATAACAAATTGATGTGTCATAACAATTAATATTCTTTCTTAAACCGTGTGAAAAGTCGGAGAAGAGTAACACTTTGAGAGACGAGAGGGAGTATTACTTTGATCAATCTCACTTGACAAATTTAATCAAACTTAACTAATTCTAATTGTCTTGTTTTTTTTATTAATCTCAAAGCATATTACTATATATTTAAAAGACGTGGGTTCCGATTGTTCATAACACTCGTTCACCCTTATATATATATATATATATATATATTGTGTAATTCAAGCACAAGAAACCGTTTGTAGTTTAACGGTTGGGATGCTTACCTTCCAAGCTTATACACAGGCTTGGTCTGCTAGCATAAGCATTTGTTAGACTCGTTTGCAACTTTTTATTTTGCCTTTTTTTTTTACCGTTATCTTTTTTCTTTCTTTCTTTTGTTTCAAGTTCACCTCTTTCTTTCTTTCTTTCTCTTTCTCTTTTTTTGGGTATTGTTCACCTTTTTTTCGTTCCTTTGTTTCAAGTTGTTGTGAATACATGTCTTTTTTTCTTTGTTTTTTCCATCAAGTTAGGTTCCTTTTTATTTTTTATTTTTAATTTTTAATTTTCTGGTTGTTTCGTTTTGATCTCTTAAGTTCTTTTTCATTTATTTATTTTTTAAAAATTCCTAGGTTATTTATTTTGATCTCTTAGGTTTTTTTTTTTTTTTTGAGTTATTTCATTTTCGTCTCTAAAATTTTAAAATAAAAATTTTAATCCTTTATCCGATGCACTACTTATGCTTTTTCTTTTTTTTTTTCATCAATTTATGTTCTTTTTTTTTAAAATTTAATTAGGTGTCAAAAAAAAAATCAATCGTTGCTTTTTTTTTTCACACAAACTAACGATTATATAATGCTACTCATGCCTTTTTTTCCTTTGCTTTTTTTTATTTAATTGGGTATCAAAATTTTGAAAAATCAATCGTTATTTTTTTCACATAAACTGACGATTATATAATATATACTATTTTTTTACAGTTATACGATATGTTTTTACATTTTAGAATAAATATAAATTACTCTTATGTATAAAGT